TTACATGTAAAACCACTCATACTCAGACTCGTTCATACTCATATGCATTCGCCCTGAGATTACTGATATGTTCGGGATCGTTCACATACAGACTCATTCGCATTTCGAGTCGCTTCTCAGACTCAAGGTTAATCATATTCAGGTCATCCACACACACGCACTCACACTCACACTCACACTCACACTCACTCACACTCACATTCATACTCACTCACACCCAGACTCACGCACATCAAGACACACTCATTTTATGCCTCGCTCTTCTTATCAGCCACACCCCTTCCGCGTTCGGAATCAAACACACGTGATGATGTCTCACGCGAGGCGCTGGCTTCAGCAGTCCCAAAAGGGGTAGCCAGGGTGTATCTCACGGGCCCGTTCGCGCCCAGATTGGGGGGATGTCCCTGGCGGTTTGCGGGCTTCGGTGCTCAGCATCTTTTTGGTTTCGGAACAGTTCCCGAAGATGTCTCAGGCGAGGCGCTGGTTTCAGCAATCCCAAAGGGGGCGCCAGAGGGGTATCGCACGGGCCCGTTCGCGCCCAGATTGGGGAGATGTCTCAGGCGGCTTGCTTGTTTGGGTGTTCAACGTCCTTTTCTTTCGGAGCAGTTTCCGAGGATGTCTCAGGCAAGGCGCTTGTTTCAGCACTCCCAAGGGGGGGCCGCCAGGGGGTATCTCACGGGCCCGTTCGCGCCCAGATTCGAGGCCTGTTTGGGCACTCAGCATCCTTCATGTTTCGGAGCAGTTTTCGAGGATGTCCCAGGCGAGGCGATGGTTTCAGCACTCCCAGGGGGGGGGGGGGCGCCAGGGGGTATCGCACGGGCCCGTTCGCGCCCATAGTGGGGGGATGTCTCAGGCGGTTTGCTTGTTTGGGTGCTCAACGTCCTTATCTTTCGGAGCAGTTTTCGATGATGTTTCAGGCGAGTCGCTGGTTTCAGCACTCCCGCGGGGGGCTGCCAGGGGGTACCCAAATTCGGTGGATGGGTTTATCAGGCGGTTTGCTTGTTCCAGTGCTGCACATCCTTTTGCTTCGGAGCAGTTTCCGAGGATGTCTCAGGCGAGGTGCTGGTTTCAGCACTCCAAAAGGGGGCCGCCAGGGTATATCTCACGGGCCCGTTCGCGCCCATGTTGGGGGGATGTCTCAGGCGGTTTGCTTATGTGGGCGCTCAACATCCTTGTCTTTCGGAACAGTTCCCGAAGATGTCTCAGGCGAGGCGCTGGTTTCAGCAATCCCAAAGGGGGCGCCAGAGGGGTATCGCACGGGCCCGTTCGCGCCCAGATTGGAGAGATGTCTCAGGCGGTTTGCTTGTTTGGGTGTTCAACGTCCTTTTCTTTCGGAGCAGTTTCCGAGGATGTCTCAGGCAAGGCGCTTGTTTCAGCACTCCCAAGGGGGGGGCCGCCAGGGGGTATCTCACGGGCCCGTTCGCGCCCAGATTCGAGGCCTGTTTGGGCACTCAGCATCCTTCATGTTTCGGAGCAGTTTTCGAGGATGTCTCAGGCGAGGCGATGGTTTAAGCACTCCCAGGAGGGGGCCGCCAGGGGGTATCGCACGGTCCCGTTCGCGCCCATAGTGGGGGGATGTCTCAGGCGGTTTGCTTGTTTGGGTGCTCAACAACATTATCTTTCGGAGCAGTTTTCGATGATGTTTCAGGCGAGTCGCTAGTTTCAGCACTCCCGCGGGGGGCTGCCAGGGGGTACCCAAATTCGGTGGATGGGTTTATCAGGCGGTTTGCTTGTTCCAGCGCTGAACATCCGTTTGCTTCGGAGCAGTTTCCGAGGATGTCTCAGGCGAGGTGCTGGTTTCAGCACTCCCAAAAAGGGTGGCCAGGGTGTATCTCACGGGCCCGTTCGCGCCCAGATTGGGGGGATGTCCCTGGCGGTTTGCGGGCTTCGGTGCTCAGCATCCTTCTTGTTTCGGAACAGTTCCCGAAGATGTCTCAGGCGAGGCGCTGGTTTCAGCACTCCCAAAGGGGGCCGCCAGGGTATATCTCACGGGCCCGTTCGCGCCCACATTGGGGGGACGTCTCAGGCGGTTTGCTTATGTGGGCGCTCAACATCCTTGTCTTTCGGAGCAGTTTCCGAGGATGTCTCAGGCAAGGTGCTGGTTTCAGCACTCCCAAAGGGGGCCGCCAGGGGGTATCTCACGGGCCCGTTCGCGCCCAGGGGGGATGTCTCAGGCGGTTTGCTTCTTTGGGTGCTCAGCATCCTTTCTGTTTCGGAGCAGTTTCCGAGGGTGTCTCAGGCAAGGCGCTGGTTTCAGCACTCCCAAGGGGGGGCTGCCAGGGGGTATCTCACGGGCCCGTTCGCGCCCATATTGGGGGGATGTCTCAGGTGGTTTGCTTGTTTGGGTGCTCAGCATCCTTATCTTTCGGAGCCTTTTTCGGCGCCCTGATAGGTGTTCAGAGGAGGACAAGGAGGAGGAGGAGGAGGAGGAGGAGGAGGAGGAGGAGGAGGAGGAAAAAATGAGGAAACAGCTAGTTAATGGCGTCGTAGTCGTCGGCGTCTTTCTCGGCTTCGTCTTCCACATTAATTCGCTGACACTCAGATATTGAAAAGGACAATGCGCTCTACCGAAGCATGCCATCTTTATGAGATGCACATATGGGGATCTCCGCGTCGAGTGATTTTAGTTGCGGCGCACAACAGAGCAATGGGAAGGGATGTGCGGGACAGCTCAGGTAAGCGCACCAAGTTTGCCCCGCCCCCCTCATTACTCACTCCCGCTGCCTTCGCCTTTCCCTCCAAGTTCGCCTCTGCTGCATCCTCCTCGTGATCATCGTGTTTGTTCCTGTTCATCCGCGTCCTCGTATTCACCCTTTCTTATTTGCCCCGTCTACGCTGGCACGCAGAGGAAACTGCGTCCACCACGATGTCCAGGGCGGAGAAGGACAGCCGTGCTAGCTGCCCCTTTTGCTACACTGGTGCCACAGAAGGGCGACGATGCAGCATTCGAAAATGGTTCCCGTCGACAGGCCGTCCACTGAGATCTTGTAGGTTCAGGATACGCAGACGAAGACGACCTTGTCCCCGAAGCCGTGCTTGCTCTGAGGGGTTCGTTCTTGCGTTTCCAAGTACTCCAGATTTCGTAATAAAGGGAGGGGGGTCTCATTTCGGGGGGGGGGGGGTCTCTTCCAGGCTATCTTGGAGGGCCTGGGGGGTCCGGGGACGATGCTTTGGAGGGTTCTCCCACGGGGGAGGTCTGAAATGGCTTGTCTTGGAGGGTCCAGACCCCCTGCCTTTTATTACAAAATCTGGGGACATTGGCCTGCGGTGTTGGGCCTTCGCCCACGGGGCGCGCCCGTGCCCGTTCCCCGCCCGCCCCGTGCGACGGCTGGCGGCTCCACGCACCCGGCCAGCGTGCGGGCGCCCGTGCCCGCCCCGTGCCAGGCGTGCGCCGACCGGCGGCCCCACACGCTCGGCCCGCGGGGAGGAGGAGGAGGAGGAGGAGGAAGAAGGAGGAAGAAGGAGGAGGAGGAGGAGGAGGAGGGGGAGGAGGACAAGCTAGGTGCGCTCGCGTCATATCTGACATCTTACCCCTCCCTCCCATCCCTTACCATGGCGCAGATCCCCTGTCTACTCGCACAGTCGGATGTCGAGCAAGGCAATGATCCCGAAAGGGTACGCGATGCATTGTACAGCACGGCGTGGCACGGCGTAGAAGAGCACCGCGAAGCGTAGTATCAACCTAGCATTGCATTGCATGCCGTGGCATGGCACGGGAAATGACGCCAGCGCTGCAGCGGGAGCACGAGTCGAAACGAGCGGAAGCGCGGAAATGAGGCCAGCGCTGCAGCGGGAGCACGATTCGGAACGAGCGGAAGCACGCCGGAATCGGCCCAGGAGGCTTCCCGGGCGCCCCAACCAGAAATTCAGCAGTTTCAAAAAAATGAGTATTGGAATGGCCTTTTTTCGGCGCCGCCTCGGAACTCGATTTTCCGGCGCCGGCCGGAACCGGCTCCAGACCTGGCCCGGGCGCCGGCCCGGGCGCCGGCTCGGGCGTCCGGCCCGGGCGCCGGCTCGGGCGCCGGCCTGGTTCGTTGTTCGTTTGCTTGCAACGCTGTTGCATCTTCGGCCAACCCTGTTGTGACGTCTGCTCCAACGTGCCTAACGCAGCCGCAACGTTTACTAACCCCCACGGGGGTTAGGAAGTAAAAGCGAATGGTTGGATGGGTTGCGATTGACTTATGCACGGGCAACTTAACTTAGTTATAACCTGACGACGAAAAACAGAAACGTATATGGGACCCTCCCAGCAGAATGAATGACCCCTTCAACACATAGTGGAGCGCCCCAACAAGTACAACACAAAACTATATATATGACCCCCAAAAAGTAGATGTGACCACCCGAAAAGTATACAGGTCCCCCCTCAAAAAATAAAGGGCCCTCCAAGTAAATAGAAACATTCGGCGTCGATATGCGAATTACATGACGCCCGCGTGCGATGAGACCACTAAGACGATGACCTATCCTTAGTAGGACTATATATCATCATGTGTTTTGGGTATTCGTTTTGCAAAGACAGCGCCACGCGCCCCCTCCAACCTTTATCCTCGTCCGAAGACGATACTCTCACAAATGCGGGTCTCGCAACTGCGCATGGTTGGGTCCTCCGCCAGTGTAGTAGCCAATCTGCACCGTTCGACATCCGACGCGTTGTCTCTAGTCAATGTGCAATGGCGCTGTGTAGAAGTATCGCCTGTCGGTTGAGCATGCATGCGCGCAGTATCACGGCTGGAGAATGTCACGCTTGTCCTTTCGTCGGATGTCATGTTTGTGTTCGTGGAGTCGCATCGGGTCGTCGCTGTGTTCGCGTGTCGGTGATTGCGCTTCGCAGTTGCACTAGAAATAATTATGTCGATGTCGTTGTCCGTACCACATGATGGCTCAGTCTGTTGAGGCGACGGTTGATCACGCTTTCGCTTGTCCACGCTTTCGCTTGTCGCGGTTGATCTTCCTCTCGCGTCTGATCACGCTTTCGCTTGTCGCGTCTGCACGCCAGCATGGCGACGACAATGGAGCAATGCTTCGCGGCTTTTAAGTCGACGCCGTGCTTGTCAGAGCTTAAACAGATCTGTGACGAATGGGATGCATCGGCGTCCACTTCAAGTTCTGGAAACGCTGAGCTGAAAGATCGCGTCCTGGACATTTGCAAGAAGTGTTCGCAATCTTTCGAGCAGGTGTATCACTCCGAGCAGGTCGGCGCATGGGAGCGGAATCGCGGTGACGAGGGCGTTCAGTGGCGTCGGGCTCACGGGCGCGTGCAGGTCATCAAAACGTCAGGGTTTTCTTTGAAGGCCATTGCCAACAACGCGGTGGCGGGAGAAGACAACCCGTACACGAGGGAGTACGCCAAATACACGGCGAAGAAATGCGCTACGCATGCATGCTTTGCGAACTACAAGGAGGAGGAGATCAGGGCGGGAGCATGGGGGGCAACGCACGCACTGCATGGGTTTGCATGCGTGCACGACGGCGTCGAGAGCGACATCGACGACTTGACGCAGGACGGCAAGATGCACATCGACACTGCCTGCAGCCGAGACAAGCATGGCCTTCTCAGGAATGCCATCGAGGTTGGCGTCAAGTTCACGGTCGCGAAGTGGGTTGTCCACGCAGCGTTGCCGAGCGTTGCTCATATCGTCGGCGGTGCCCTGAACACCGTGCAGCAGACGTCCGAAGGCAGTCTAGCAATTGTCGAATATATGTTTAATGATATGTACATGCGCTCGGCATGCGTTTATCCGTTCGGAGTGGGGGGAGGGGGCATTGGAGTTTGTCGTGCGTCGCGGGGGTGGTGGGAGCGAGGGGGGGGGGGGGGGGCGAGGGGGAGTCGCGCCACGCGAGACATGGTACCAGAACCTTGTGAGCATCGTCGACGCCGCGTCGCCCATGGGCCCGCAGCCCGACTTCAAAGAGGTGACCAAGAAGGCTTTGAAGTCTCAACCCCCCAGGGCTGTGGACGTGCCAGACATGGTCGAGTACGTCAAGAAGTGGGGCGGCATGCCCAGCGGCGGCTTGATCAAGGAGCTCACGCCTCTTCTGAACCACTTCGTGCCTTCCGACCGCGTGGTGTCAGGCAGCGTGTTCAAGGCTTTGGCTGATTTGAAATTTCCCATTGGCGCCATGCCTGCACGCGTGATAAATGCTGTGCTCTTTCGGCACGCGGCGTCCGACGAGAACGTGCACGACGGCTTCGCCAGGAACGTCGCGAGCAAGGACTTGGCTACGTTGAGCAAGCCTGAGAAGCGCGCCACCGTGATGAAGGCGAACGGCGCCCTCATGCGCGCCAAGGAGATGCTCGCCGAGTCGTCCATGGACCCAGCCGCCGCGGAGGCGACCGAGGGCGATCTGATGATCGAAGTCGTAGACTTCCTCCTCGAGAGGAACAGGGACAAGGGCAAAGGCAAGGGCGTCGACAAGGACAAGGGCAAGCAGCCCACCTGTCTGCAGGCGATCCTCGAGAAGTTCGCAATGAAGCTGGGCGAGGGCGCGGCGGCGATGCAGCTGCCAGCCGATGTCGCGGAGTATCCTTCGGCATCTGGCGGCGCGAACTTCGCGCAGCACACCGAGGGCGGCGAGACGTCGGGCCTGGGCAAGACGACCGCGCTCAACAAGGACATCGCGGAGGGCGTGCACCTGCAACTTCGCAAGCCCCGTGCTGGCGTGTCCGCTCCAATGCAGGACATGTGGAAAATCGTCGACGTCTCGGATGGCGGGGTGGCCAGCGTCAAGATGGTGAAACCAGATGGCAGCATTGACGACACGACAATTTCGAATGCATTGTCGGACATCGAGGAGACGTACAGGACGTGCAAGGCGAAGGAGTTCGTAGGAGGCTACCCTGGCAACGATGCGGCCAACGACAAGGACATGGCCAACCATGAGTTCAAGGGCATGGTGTTTGGTGCCTTGAACGCGCTCCTTCGGAAGTACGGCGTGCAGAGCGCGCTCCCCATGAAAAGGCCATGCAGGGCAGTCCTGGCGTCCAAGGCGTTCGGCGTGGGAGGTTACGTCGCCGCGCCTGCTTCTCGGTCAATTGCACCGCAGTCCGAGACCATCAAGACGCGCCCGCCCAAGGCAATCGAGGTCGCCATTCCAGTCGACGGCGCGCCGAAGATGTTCATCATGCCAGCGCCTCCGACCAACGAGTTCACGTGCCAGTTCTGGTGCATGCGAGTGCAGTCCGACAAGTCCTTGTGCACCTGTGGGCTCAAGGAGTTCAGTGTGAGGGGGAGGCGCCCCGTGGTTGGTGATCGGAGCGTCGGCCCGAACATTGACATCGTCATCCTTTGCGCGACGAACTTCAAGAAAGCCGCCGCTTACGATGAGCTCGTGCTTCACATGGATGCCGCGGAGACTAAGAAGAAGGACCAAATCTCGGAGCCCGTCCTCGAGTCCAAGAGGGCCCGCAAGAGCAAGTGAGCCCTGGTTCATGCGATCAGGAAGTTCTGGGTGAGGGGGGCCGGGGCACGATCGTATGAGTTTGGGTTATCGCCGCAGGGGTGCTGAGCACGAGGGCCGTCAGCGTTCGGCCACTGCGAGGGCCAGCTTTCCCTCTCCATCGCCGCCTGCAGCAGGCCGCGATCGCGATATGAACATCAGTTGGGATGCGGGCGTTGCGTCCCAGACCAGTCCGACGAAACGCGCAGATCGCATGTCGATGTTGCATCGTTTCGGGTTCGCCTCCAATCGAGCGGCTGCGAACGCGCTGCGTTCGACGCAGACTCGATTGTCAATGTTCGGTCGTCCGTTCTGTAGCCGTTTTTGCTCTGCAGGGGTTCGCAGAGATGGCTTTCCGCATCGAGCCAGCGGTGCGCGTCACCAGCGACGACGGCGCCAGCGTGTACCTCTGCGTGCACGAAGTTGAGGGCGAGAGGTTTTTCAATTTGTCCAAGGGCAGGGTCGCTGACCAGCCGTTCCTACACGGCCTCCGCAGCAAGGAATGCGACAGGCCAGTCAGTCGGACGACGATTGTCCAGGACACCCGTCAGCTCAAGGACAGTCTTGTGCACAAGGAGTGCAAGGTCAAGAACAAGCGTTGGAATCGGCAATCGAGCGTGCTTCTCATCACGGCTGAGGACTCGTTCAAGGAGATCACGCTGCCTGCCGTTGGCGAGGAGCCCTCCCGCAACATGGAGGCCGTCCTTAACAAGCCTGGCGCGCCTGACCTTCTCGTGGAGCTCAACACCGACACGCTCGCGTACCTGGGGAGGGTGATGCTGGCGCAGTTCAACGCTCATGACGGTGTCACCCCAAAGAAAGAGAGGGACCCCTTGTTCGAGCACATGGGCCTCGCGCGCATGGGCGTCACCACGAAGAACGGTCGGGACTGCGTTCGGGCATTCAAGAAGTTGGGCGAGAACGGCAAGGCCGCCAAGTACCTCAGGCTTGACGAGCACGATCATTCGCTGGAGAAGGCTGCGCAGCGCGCCCAGTCTTGGCAGCTCGGCGAGGTCGCGCCCCAAGGTCATGCCGATCAGCCTGATGAGGGCGTTGGCCAGGAAAGCGATCAAGATGCCGACCAGCCTCAAGAGCCCGATCAAGATGCCGACCAGCCTCCAGAGCCCGTTGAGACGCCTGTGAAGGCGGAGCGCGGCATCAAGCGCTATTTCACTCCCCGCGCGCCCAGCCTCATCGTCAAGTGACGTGTGAGCATGATGCGTAGCATGCGTGTGTGTGTGTGCGTGTGTCGATGGCATTTGTTGCTCGACAGCACGGTGCGGGATGCGTTTCGGGGGCGGTTGCGCAGGGGTTGCGCGATCATACGCCATCCCGCCAGACGGTTGCATGCATTACCAGAGGTCGCTGTCGCTCGCTGCACATAGAGTACACACGTAATCCAGGGAATGCCGCCGCTTGTCGTCAATGCATCGTCGCTCGTCGGTGCGCGTCCAAATTCTTGGCGCTTCGCGCATCCCCACCAGCCAATTCAGGAACGACGCCCCTGCAGACATATTCAAAAGTGCCCCCTCCCCCTTTCGCACAGGAGTCCTCTAATGTGGCCTCGCTGGGGCCCTCAACCGTCATAAATAAGTCCTCTAATGTGGCCTCGCTGGGGCCCAAAACCTCATAAGTCCCATGGGAAACAATATGGGCGGGGCCAGTCGGAATAACGTGCTTACAAGATGGACACGCCAAACCACCCACGCCAAGAAGGTTGTTGGGACTATTGCTTGCACGCGCCATGGGGTGCTCGCGCAATCGCACATGCAGCTGGCCACGCGCGACGGCGATCGCCGAACCGCGATCGCCATCAACCCCCATCGTCTCCGTATGCTGATGCCGTTTGTGCTCTGAGAAGGTTCGGTGTTCGCTTCGGCGCGGCAGCCGCATTGCGGCCGCGATGGCATCCATGCAGGCCCGCGTGGCAGGCATCATGCCGATCCCAGTTGCCGTGCTGACGTTCGGGCAGGCAGTTCACGGCGATGCAGTGGGCCGCGCCCACCTCGAGAGCGACGAGACCATTGCCACTTGCAACATCGACCTGAGGAAGACCACGCGCGACCCGCACACGGAGTTCGGCGTCAACTACGCGGAGGACGGGGCGGTGCCGAAGACCTTTCCCAGCGTGTTCAACCAGGAGTCATTCAACCCATCGCTCGTGGAAGTTGTCCGCAGCGTGTTCGCGTGCGGGGAGGTGCTTCTCCACAGCGACGGCATGACGGGCGTGCTCGCGATGGTTGGGTGCAATAAAGGCTGCCACAGGTCTAACGTCATGGGACGTGCAATCAAATATTGCCTCAACTACTTTGTGAATGTGGACGGCACGCGCGCGTTCAACTGTCAGGCGTTCCACATGTTCGGGTCGAAGGATCGCGAGTTTGACCCGTTGATTGCTCGCGCGCGGTCGTGGGCGGCATCCCCGTGGGCGCTGATCGAGGCGCCATCGGCGAAGTCGTACGGCCATGACGTCGTGGTGCAGAGTCGGGAGTCGCAGTACCACTGGGGCTCGATGTGGGATGCCATGGTGGCCATGGGCAGGGGCGAGGGCATGATCATCGGCGACCACGTCCTACTGATGAGTACGCACGTTGACTCGCACATCGAAGAGGCCGCGGCCACTGCCGAGGGCGATGACCAGCTCGGTGGCGAGGAGCGTGTCCCTGAGGAGCGGCCGAGGCCGTCGTCGTCGGGCCCGTCCAAGACGCCGCGGCCGCCGACGGCGCCGCCGCCGTCGAAGTGCCGCAAGATGAACACTGGCCCCACGACGGTTCCAACTGAGGAGGTGGCTCCAACGTCGGCTCCAAGGGCTCCCATGACCCCGCCGTGGAAGGCGCCCACCCTTGCTGGGCCCCCGTCCCACACGCCTACGGTAGTGCCGCCGTTGCACCCGCGGCCTTGCGCGCCAGCGGCGCCAGCGCGCCAGGAGGTGGTGGAGGCATTCGGGGGTTGCTTGAAAGCCCTGAGAGGCCCCCAACCATTTCGTTGTTGAAGAGCACGTTCGGTTAAATTTCTGTTAAGATTCAGGCCCTCTTCGAGCCCTCCTGCCGCGCTCTCGGGGCCCTCCTGGGGCCCCTGTCGAGCCCCAGACGTCCAAAAGACCCTCCAGACGAGCCGAATGGCAAACGGCCCAAACGGCCTCAAGATGGCCCAAGACGGCCCAAGACGCCCCCAAGAGGCCCCCAAAACGCCCCAAGACGCCCCAAAGGACCCCCAAGAGGCCCAAGACGGCCCAAGGACAGACGGTGTCACATGTGACGGCTCTCCTCCTCCTCTTCCTCATGCCTCCGCCTGCTCATCCACACCGTTACCATCACCATCGCCATCATCCTCACCAACATCATCGAGCCTGGAGATGCACCACGTCCCAGGTTAGGACATCCGTGATCCCCATGTATGGGCTTATGGGCCATGTTTGGGCTTATGGGCCCGAAGCCTTAAAACATTATCCGACCGCGTTGTTTCTTGGATTTCGGGCCCACACGCAGCCGCGCGGTTTACAACTGCAGCGCGACCAAAGACGCCCCGCGGCCGCCCCGCGGAGCACGCCGCGGCACGCCCCGCGATCGTGAGCCGCGGGGCGGTCGTGGCATCTTGCTCGGTCGCGTTGCCGCCGCAAACCGCGCGGCGCCACGTCGGTCCCCGCAGGCGGCAGAGACGTGGGAGACCACCGTGTTCGACGTCGCGAACTGGAAGAGCGCGATGGTGGGCATGGGCGTCGACGACACCGCTCGCGCGGAGCTGTTCCTCCTGAGCCAGCTGCCCCAGGGCGGGGCGGAGGCCGCCAACCATGTGATCAGCAAGCTGATGAAGCACCGCGCGGACGGCCAGGACGTGCGCAACCCGTCGGCCTTCGTGCACAGCTGCGTTCGCAACGCGCGTAACAGGGGCATCGGCGCGGAAGCTCGCGCGGCTTGATTTCGCGATGCAGTATTGTGCAGGGGCGTCCGCGACAGTCCATGGGTGCACGGCGCGCGCGGAGTGACATCGCACGGCGCGGGTGGAGCACCGCCCACTGGGCAGTGCTTCATCCTGAAGGGCTCTTCCGGAACGCGCCCCGGAAGGAAATTCGAGGAGCCTTTTTAAGGGTTTCAGGGGCCGCCCACACCCCAGCCTTGTCTGGATCGCTGCCCTCAGTGCAGTGCTCCAGACACCGCGTGACGTCATCGTGCGCCCGATGCGGCTGCTCGAGCACAATGCCATCGGCGAGATCAGGCCACGCTGGCTCCGCGTGCAAGGATTGACCCGAACCAGTCGTAGGCCTTTTGGTGGGCCGACGCCGCGGCCATATGCGATGTCCAGGGCGGCTACTCTTTCGACCCCGACCGCCGCCATCCGTCGGCTGCTGGCAGAATAATTCATATTATGACCCCACTGTGAGAGGTGCTCGCATGCTACGATCGTCGCGTCGACCGCGCGATGCGCGGTCTCTTTTACGCGTGATGTCAGTTGCGCCTATGCAGTGTCATTTCAAGTTTTGGAGTTGCCTTACATGACACCCGCGTCGCATCCCCAATCGAGGCGTTCGCGCTCTAATCGGCCGCACCGTCGCTGCCTCCGAGAGCGCGCGTGCAACGCCCACCCGAGCCCTTGCTTTGCACTTACAGCCGCTGCCCGATCGGCGCATACCTGTGTGACAGACATCGGCGTCGTGCGCGCCACCTTCTGCGTTGCAAACACGGAGGGGAAGGGAAGGGGGGAGCGCCAGGTTTCGAGTCTTCGGGCGTCGAGTCTCCTGGTTGGCGTCGCAGGGCTCCAAGACCCCAGAGGCCCCCAAGAGGCTCCAGGCGGACCCCAAGAGGACCCTCGCGATGGCATCATCATCATCATCATCACCCTCCTCCTCCTTTTCCTCCTCCTCCTCTCATGATGCGACAATCGAGTTTTTACAAGCTGATGGCAACAAACTGATGCGACAATCGAGTTTTTACCTAACAGCGAAGACTGATAGGTTTCTAGTTGACTCAAAAGAGCTCACAGAT